ATATATTTTTCAGACTTACATGCTAATTGATATTTCAAATCCCAGAATGAGCCATCCTACCACATATCGCAGCCCCATAGATTTAACCACATGATTTCTTTCTTGTTCCATGGACTTCTGACCATCTTCTATAGAGTCATGAAAGCCTTTTTTGTCCTGGGTATGCTAATTGATTCATACCATATGTGGTACATCCATATACTTAAAATAGTTTTCATCTCTTTTTTTAAAAATTATTTATTATTATTTCCTATCCTTAGTAGCTTATTTTATATCTTTAGAATACTGGATATTTGATGCGGTGATGGTCTTGTTGGAAGAGAGTAGATTAGCGAAGAAAGCTTTACAAATGAAACTTAATTATTTATGATAAAATAATAGTCCCTGTTACAAGTAGTAGAATGTAACTGTAGTTCCTGTGCTTGATCTGTATTTTATAGATAATTTTATTTTTCCTTTCCAATCACATTACTTGTGTGTTAATATTAAGGTGTGTTTCTCTGGATGCGAGATATCTTTTCCAACCTACTTATTTTTCTGTTTGTTTTCATGTTTGTGAGCCGATTGTTTACATTTAGGAAATTTAGCTGCTTTACATGGCAGTGTTTTGTCTTTTAATAAAATAAGACCTTTTTGAAGGTGATGTTTGACTGAGGGCTCTGAGTTGTGTGAAAGCAAAACTGCATCTGCTGGCGAAGAGTATTTTCTGTTTTAACAGCTCCATGTAAATCCTTTTTCACTGTTACAGAAAAACATACTTTTACTGTGTAATCAGTTTGTGTCCATCTTTCTGAAATTGATGCATGTATTGCCTCTGTTGAATTTGTGTAAATGTATAATGTAGTGGCCATATAAAACATACCCTCCCCCCCAATAAAAATGAAGTTGCATGAAATTTGGTATAACAGGATATATATCTCTTTATCAAGTATTGAACAGAAAGATCCATTTTCTTTTTTATTAAGAACCTATATCTAATAAAAGATATTTGAAATACCTTCCCCCTGTAATAAAAGATGCCTCAGGTTTTCAACAGATTTTTCCGAAGTTTATGGTCAATCTTGCATTTTCAAGTTAAATGAAAAAGCTGCCTGTAAACATCGAGTTTTCCTGATCACCAAATAGATAAGATAAGAGATAATATGAAGCAACCTGAAATAAGTAGAAGTACATTAAAGTTCTGTTTGGATCATTTTGAAAGTTCTTCCATCCTTTTTTTTTTTTTTTTTTTTTTTTTTTTTTTTTTTGCATCCTAAGTGAATTGGTTATCAGATTCTTGTTAATTTTCTGGATGAAACTTATTAATTAAATATTTGTGAAAAATGAGGGAGGTGCAGAGCTGAACACATCAATTCTGTCAGAAGTTCCTTAGAGGGAGCTAATAAAGCTCTTAATCCTAACATGCTCTTAGCAAAGTCTTTAACATCATGCCTTGCATACCCAAACAATCTTCTGCTTGCTTTCTGTAAGGTTAAGACTGGTGTGTGACATGGTGAAGTATACAGAGTGACTTCTTCAGATAGTTTCAGGCCATAAAAATTTTAAGGCAGGAGATAAAAATACGGTCTTCTCTAGTCACAAAGTAGTTTGACACTTACACAGGCATTCAAAAAAAAAAAAAAGGTTACTTTTAACAGTTGTGGGTGATACCTGGTTTTATTATTTTGACAATTCAAGTGGAGTTGTGCTTCAGTCTTTGAAGGGCAGAATTTATATTCAGTTCAGGTCTTTCATTGGAAAAAAAGGTGTATTTTTTAAAAAGCAGTTATCAGCTCCCTTGTCTCAGTTGCTGATGGTTTGGACTATATTGAAATTAAATAGCATCAGTTAACTGTTGTTTCTTTTGCTAGGTATATATCTTCTCAGTTGCACTGAAATTAATTCAGAAAATCCCACGTTTATTTCAGTAAAAGTAAAATGGCAATTGTTAAATTGTTGCTGAAGTAAAATGAGTTAATTCTATCAAGGTTTCTGCCTTTCATCATGTTTGTCTGTTATGTGTTTATTGTCTTCTGCAAAACAGAACTGCCTTGCATCAAAAAACCAGTGGCCTGAAGAAGGCTCCAAACTTTCCATTATATGTTTAGACAAACAATCATATATATTTCTTTCTTCATTCATAACTCGTGTTTAGTTAATACATTAGAGAACCTAGCTCCTATTGGTCACACGGATTACTTCTTTAGTTATGTCAAACTTGCATCAGCACTTACTGTTACATTACCATGGTTTTATTATTGTTAAACTTAACCTTGTGCTTGGTTGCTAATCAAAAACTAGCTAGCAGTCCAGATATTTAACAAAAATAATGTAACTTTGTTTTCCTTTCTAACCCAACAGACAAAGTTACTATACCTTGCCTGAACACTGAGGTATATATTATATATGTGCACACAAATTCAATGCATTTATGTCAGACAAATTCACAGGGTTTAGTCTTTGCTATTTGTATTTTCATGGCAAAATGAATGTTACCACAGTGAAGTGATAAAGATGCATCATCAAGACTAGGGAGGATATTTTCCATGATTTTTTTTTTCTACTTTTTTTCTGAAGTTTTATTTGCCTTGGGTTTTCATATTTATACATCAGTATTACACACTGAAACCAAAGTGATTTCTGCTAATGCATTTCCATCAGTGAGTTATTTGTTGTGTCATCTATTGTAAATTCAGAACCTTCCTTTTGTTAACACTCAATATTACCAGGAAAGAAAAATGGGCTTGCCATTAAGCTTTAGCACTTCCTTGAGTGCTAAAGTGGTGTGGGCAACCTGTGTGATCTCTGCTGTGGCACATCATGTCTTTGTAGACTTAAATGTTGGCAGTTGCTTCCTCTTCCCATTTTATTAAAGTTTGCAGTCTTTCATTGTGCTTATACAGTGGCCCCTGTTATGAATGACATCCAAGAGAAATGTCTAGAAGGTGTTTATAATAGTAATAATAAATAATATTTAACTCAAGTCAGATGGTCACTACTGACTTTCTCCCCTTGCTGTTCAAAACCCTGACAATTTGAGATCTCTTTCATAGAAACTTAAGGGAAAAAACCCACCTAGAGCTGCCCCTAGCTCTGTCTCTTGACCTGGTGGTAAAAACCATCACTGGTGAGAGCAGGCTAGCCAGAGGAAAGATATCCCCAGTGTGCCCAATGTGAAAATGAGGAAATAGTGACCCATGGAAAGAGAGTGTTCAGAAATGTGTTAGAAGTGACTGAACAGTTTCAGAAATGGTCTCAAATACTTGTGGTTTCTAAGAAACATTATCTTTTTGTGTAAAAATAATATACATGGAAATATCCATATTTAGGGAAGACAGAAGATATTGGTTATGGTTTTAACTGAAAAGTTTGATTTTCATTTTGGAACTCTGTGTAGGTGATCTGTTTTTTTTTTTTTTTGAGGTGTTTTACAAGGCAGACCAAAGGCATTTGCAATGTGTTTTCTCCTAGTTGCCTTGCATTCAAGAAAAATAATGGAGATAGGAAGAAGTAATGCAATATCTGGGAGTTCTTTAGAAATACATATCTTTTTGCCTAAGTGAAGACTTTTCTTGATATGGATTTGATGAAGTACTAATGAATGTGAGCATCAATAAATAAGAAAAAGGTGACTTTTGCAGCAACAAGAAACTACTGAGAATATTATCTGAGGAATGGTCTCTACAACAGATATAAAGAACAAACAGAGAAAAAGAATACTAGCTAACAATAATGTTTAGGATCAGTTTGAATGGAAGTAGACTAGAGAGAACGATTTGGTAACAGCTGGACTTTGGACAAGGTTTTAGTTGTATGGAAGAGAAGAAAGCAATTTGCTGTGGAACTGTATAACGACCAACCAAGCAGAGTTAGTGATGTCTTCCTGGATGGGGGAAAGAAGGGAAAGAGTTGAAGATGACACCAAGATTGAACCCAGGGGTTTTGTGACTCTGAGGGGACAAATATTAGAGCTATTGACAGAGACAGTGAAGAGATATAAAAGGAAGAATTTGGAAAAAGATAATAAACAACCACTTCAGCTGATGTTAATTGGTGTATGCTCTGTTGACTTCATTCACAGCAGTTGAGGATATGGCCTGTTGAGTTCAGCTTTAATGATAAGTTTGAGCTGGCAGGGAGATCTCAGGATAAATTCTCAGCAAAAATAGGCAGAGAGGAAAGACTGAGGTTATAGATCCCAAATTCTTGCAAGTGGGCCTATATCTTGGTTCATTAAGTTGTGATGGCAGCTTAGGGAAGATGAATTAGCTATGCAAAAGTTGAACAGAAAACAACTGAGAGAACCTGAAAGAGAACAGGAAAAGAGAGAAGAAACCCACCAAAAAGGCCAAAGAAAGGTTAAAAAAAAGAGGGAATGTGGGTGGGGGGGGGGGGGAGGGCAGTATTTGAAAGAATCCTAATAGTGATATTAACTATAAAAGAAAAGCATACAAGTAAAACAAGAGGAAAATGAAAAAGAAAGGGTTTTTTTCCTCTCAGTTTTACAGAAAACAGATAAACATATTAATTCTCTGAGGCAAAAAATTTAATATAGAAAGTGATTGGAACATAATAAAAAACACTTCAGATAAATCTCATTTTCAGGAAGATGTTAGGGAATGTAATAATTTCTCAGTACTGTACGTTTTTGATTTCATAGTTCAAATGTTAACATGTTTCAGTGCCTTTTATGCTTGGTTGTATTTACTTAGAGAAAACAACACATGCTGAAAATTTGTTAATAGACTGACATTACATTTAAATGATTGCACTTAGATAATGTGTGAAGAAACTAAAAAGACTGTAAAAGTTTAGGAGAATACTGAAATTATTTGTCTTTTGCTAGGTAGTTTTCTTTCTTTGTATAAAAATATAGATCAGTAAGAAAATATATGTGATATAAATATATATATATTTGTCATATATTTTCCCAAGGGTTGTAACATGGCATTATAGTCTTCAGGTTAGTTTTAATGTTTAAATAAATTCTTTAATTAAATTGAGCTCTTTTTTATTTAAAGCTGTCTTTTGGGGAGATATTGCCTTAGATGATGAAGACTTAAAAATCTTTCAAATTGACAGGACGATTGACCTTACGCAGCACTCCAACGAAAGACTTGGCCATAACACAGGTATGATATTTCAAGCTTGTTTTAACTTATTTTTCCTGTTATTTACTTCTGCATAGAAGGCAATCTCTCTTTTAAATGTAGAAAGTCAGTATAATGTTTTGGGTAATATTAGTTTACAATTTAAAATGTTATTAAACAATGAGTATAAATTTGTTTTAGGGAAAGAAAAGCTAAAATTTTAATTTTATTCTGGCATTTCTGATTAAAAATATCTTCTTGAACTGAAGAGCAGAAGCTGGTAGGAACCGTAAGTCCACTCTGCAGGCGGTCATGTGGGAAAGGAAATTGTACAAAGCTTTGCTTTCGTCACTAAAATTTCCCAATAGCAGAGACCAAATGCTCTATGGAGAACATACATGGAAACCTAGAGGCGAGACTGCGGGTCTTGGATTACAACCCCTCATTTTGCTTTTTCAGTTCCATCCAAATCAGTACTGAGATCTAGAAGCAACACAAGAATGTGTCCTCCTTGCTAGAATTTGCCTTGTCTAAAACCCAACAATTTATCTGACATTTTAATAGATGTTTATTTGCTATTGTTAACGTACAGTGCATTAGTGCCAGAAGCTGCAATCTGATTAACACAGGCAGTTGGATATTCAGACAGATAGATGAAGAGATATTATTTTTGTGTAAATATGTATGTGTGTGTGTGAGAGAGAGAAAACGTAATCATGTCTAAACGGATGTCTGTCTAATGTCTGAAAACATCTATGCTTTCAGGCTCCAATTTGTAATTCGTAACTGAGAATTTGTAAACTTTCAGGTTATGGTAAAAAAAGCCACGTTACTTAGGAAAAGTGTGGAAAAAGTGCTATTAGAAAATGTATAAACGAGTAATTGAGGTTTATTTTCTAATAAGCATGTTCCATATGTTCCTGAACTGAGCTATTAACTTGATGATTCCTGATATGTAGAAATAAGGATCACTTTGAGGAATGATCAGAAAGGAATTTTTCAGACCAAAGAAGCAATTCTCAATTTAACCTTTCAATACTGATCTATTTAAAATATTTTTACTCTTCCTAATTAGATGTTGTGATTAGACTATTTTTAGAACAACTTGAAAATTTGTTTTATCTCCTTTTAAAGCCACTTGTTTTTTTCAAGGCAGGAACACCTTTGATCATTTCTAGATCAAGACTGGATTTTAAAATGTTAATAGAGTCAGCAGTTTCCCTGCCCCCCGTTCCCCCAAACAAATAGTTTTAATTGGCTTTGAAGGTATTTCAGGCGCTAGTTTTGCTGACAAAATGTAGAGAGCAAGGTCGGTCATTTCCCCTTAAAGTGGATGCAGTCAAGTGATTTCTTTGGCCTGCTGACTTTCCTTTTTCTTCTTGCTTTTCTGTTTTTTTTTCTTTAACTGCACAGTTATTTTTTGTCAATTGCCACAGAAAGAATATACATTTCTAAGCTGTTTTAAAATAATATTTGATATTCTATTATTTAATTTTCTCTCCTCATCTGTCTTGAGATTTGTGCATTATCTTTTCCTGTGGACAGTCTCCCATTCAGGATATTGAGTCATCCTACTGAGGATTACTAATGCATTTGGATCAAATTTTTCTACCTTTATTGCACAAGAGGAATCAATGCAACTGCAATGGTCAGTGGGACTGGACTTCAGAGAACTAATTCTGCTGAAGTTAATGATTTTGTAATGGCTCTCGGTGAACCCTCAACATTCTTGATTTTTCTAAAAACAGTTGGAGAACTCAATTTTACAATTTACAAATGTATTTTGATGCATAAACTAGGAGTTGAGCCTGGTTTTGCAAACTGCACAGCCTAGTGTGCTTTTTTTCTCTTTAATTTCCAAAAGAGTAAATTGCCAACAACTAACTAGTTGATATTAGGTAGCAACTGGAAAAGGAACGTAAAACGTCTGTAAAACAGAAAAGAAATTAATATTTTACCTTAGGTACAGACACAATAAAAATTACAGGCTTGATTTCTGAGCACTTTCCATTGTTGACCTTCACAAACTAAAGGTGACATCAGGCAGAAGGGTTAGATACTTGGGTGTGAACCATCAAGAGGGAATTGCAGAGTCACTTTTTTCATTGCAACTACTAATTAAAAACCCTGAGGCTCACAGGCTCTGATTCACATTATGTGACTACTCCTGTGGGTGAGGATTATCTGCCTGGATTTACAAGGTCAGATACTTAATCTGTGAGCTTCTCAGAGCATGGCTGTGTCGTTTTATTTAACATTTTGTCCAAGCAATACACATAATCATTGTAAACAGAAAAAACAGTAGAGCTGATAAAATTGTTAAGTATATATTATTATGAGTCCAAACTGCCAAATATATCCTCCTTTTCCTGCCTGAAGTATGAGAAGATGCAGCAAATATGATTTTTTTTTTTTATTTAAACTTTTTTAGGCTGTGGCTTGGCAAGGCTATATTTTATTCATATAAGCCAGATTAGTTATGTGAGATACTTTTTCTTCTTTAGTATTTCACTAAATGGAATACAGAGGCTGTGTTAACACAGAAATGATAGTTTAAACTTTTTTCCTAGAAATAATTACAGTATAATAGTTTCTTTAAGTAAATAATGGATTCTTTGTTTTGGGTGGGTTTTTTTTTTCTGTTATGTCTGTGACAGTTGATGCTTTTAAGGATTTTTTAGTATTTGTTTGGAATCTTCAGTTATATGCCTTTTTTTATAAGATGAATGTTAACATGAGAGACAATTACATTAATGATGATCAATACAAGGAATGGAATTGTTATATTCTCTGTAGTGTATATTATAGTTACCGTGCAATGTGTTGGAAAGGAATGTGTTGAACTATTACCTCATCTATCTAAAATGTTTTAAAAAATTTGGAAAATTTTTCTCAAGGGAGCCAGCAGCTATGTGACAGTGCAATCCAAATAATTAGGCACATTGTTATTCACTGAGCAGCCACACAAACTCACTTGCCTTATATGGAATTTTCTCATCTGTAATATGATTTTAAGTTGCTCTTTAATAAATATATTTTCCACGTATATATTGAAAGTTTTTATGGGAAGTTGGGAAGGGTCTTTTGAGAGGCGGTTGGAGGTTTCAATGGTCCTTTTGTTTCTATCCTTTTACTTTTGCAGTTGTAAAAGTAGTTTGAAATCTCTCTTGTCCTATAACAAATACTGAATTTTAAAATACAACCTACTCCAAACTTCTGAAAAATCACAAAACTTTCTGAACAATTCTGAATGATTTATTGACTAGTACAGTATTGTCAGTGTTCTTTCTTCTGGTTTACTGGTGTTTGCAAAGGCACTTGCAGCCACAAAAGAATTATACGTGAAGGGAGTATGTGGCAGATACGTCAAATGTACACAGTAAACCCAGAAGTGTGTTGCCTTTCTGTAAATGGCATGGTAAATGTTAAAATCAGCTACTTAATAGCTTAGTTTTTCTTGCTCATTGATTGCTGAATTGACATAGACATATATATATATGCCTGTGAGGTCTTACTGCAATATACACCAGCATGTGATGTTTCAAAGCCTTTAGAGTGCATTGACATCTATTTGCATGCCAACAAAGAAACCCAAATCTTTCATGGTAAAATCAGCCAAATTAAGTTTGTATCAGTTTTGTTGGTTTTTTTTCTGATGGAACTTTGGGTATTGCTTTCCCTCTTTCCCCTCCCTTAAAATGAGAAGATTATGGCATGCATTCAGGAAATTTCTGTGAGAGTAAGGCTTTTAGCTGTCAATCAACATGGCTCTGAGGATGTCAAGGTCACCAGGAAGAAAAAAAGCTCCAAATAATAATTAGATGATGTAATTGTCATGACTTGTCTGAATAACAAAGACATGTTGGCTTACATTCTGGAATGCATATTAGAAAATTTTTCAGCTAAAAATGTGTTTTTCATTGTCAAGAATACTTGAAGAATTTGTATGCAAGTCATTGAAGAATGTTAAACTTCCTTTAAGATGCATTGCAGTATTTACAGGGTATTTTCTAATCTCTTCAGGCTATATAGTTACTGTAGGTGTAAGATTCCATGTTTTTAACTTTTTAAAATTCCTTTTTTTTTTTTTTTCCTTTTCTTTTTAAAGGTGGCTTTGGAGAGCATGGAATGTCAAAAAAACGAGGTGCCCTCTATCAGCTTATAGACAGGATAAGAAGATTTGGCTCTGGTATTTTCACTGTTTAAATTAGCAGGTTGCGTGATGTGATAAAGTATCATGAACATTAATGGTGCTAGTACTTTAACACTTTAAAGCATTTCTGTATTACTATTGGCATAAACAAACTATAAAATATATAGTACAAGAATAGTAATGAAGAGATTGGCTCTTTGTTGCATTTTCTTAGAAGTCTATTTCCAGCATCAAATCTGGAAGGTAAAATATGTAGTTTTAAATCTCGTATTGAAAATTCTTTAGCTTTTTTGTGTTCACAGTTATCAGTTCAACTGAGATCAATACAATGCCTTTTCAGTACAAGTAGGCTATGCTGCATAGCTGCTAATTTTATTGGTTTTGGTTTTTGTTTTTTTTTTGTTTTTTTTGGTTTTTTTTTCCCCCTGGATCCAGTTGGGGCATTCTGATTCATACCCTGCGTGAAGCATTTATGGTGTGTTACACTGAACAAACATATTTTTATACTGATCATACTCTTGTCAGTATGAATGTAGTTGAATTCAGCAGGCTATATAAGTGGAATCCCCATTAATACTGGCTGAGTTTACTCACCATATATGATGCAAGGAGACATCGCTTTAATGTCATGAAACCTCAGCCTCAAAAAGGAAAATATGTGAAACTACATTGTAATCACACCACGTCGTTATGTCTAAATGCATTGCTGCATGTCTTGTAAGATTAACCAGAGTACAGTAACTGCCTTTGCAGATGTGCTCTGGTATATAACCTTCATTCTTTACAAGAGAATTACAATTTTAGCATTGCATAAATGCTTGTCACCTTTTGCATGCAATTTGGCATAAATTTCTTGCTTCTAGTTCAAAAGAAAGTTGATAAAAAGAATTTCGAATGGTAAATCATCTATAGTAACATGTGATGAGGTTCGGTAATGACTGCATCTTAAGTGTAGCAATAGTTTTTCTCTGAAGTTTCTACCTGTGTTGTAGACTGTTGTGCAATTCTTATTTACACACTTACTAATTACAAGGATAAATTATTTGCTTTACCTGAGTGCTTTTTTTAAACTCTGAAATTTTCTATCTCATTCCTGATATAAATTTGTCACGTGTTAGTTACAAAGGCAGGCTTTTCTTCCTGCGTATCAAGAGCTTTCTCCCCGCCTTGTGCTGTTGCTTCGTCCCTTTCTTCCTTCTGCTGTTCTCCTAGCCCTGGGGCTATGCCAAGATACCCTACCATGATCCTGCTGGGGAATCCTCCCTGATTCTGGCATAGCCATTAACACTTAGGTGGAACTGGTATCCCAGGGGATACTCACAGAGGGAAGGTGTGCTCTTCAACGAGGCGTAAGACTTCAAACCCACTGAGTAGGATTTGTTGACTGCCTTTCAAGTGATCCGTTTAATCAGCTGTCCTGATGTGCTTACTAACTTATAAATTGCTTCAGAAGAAGCACCTGTTGTGGTGTGCAAGTCCTTATCTAACTATCCTTATCCTCTTTCCTTGTCACAGTAAGTTTCAGCTGATTTGGGAAAAGATTTGCCTGAAATAGGGTGGATGGTGGTAATATCTCTGAAAATAGTAGACATTTTTTGGTCTTGTAAAAAAATTCCAGCCATGAGTAATACTTATCCATAGGGTTCCAAAAGCTCGTTTGTGAAAAATGTATATTTGGATCCTGAAGTGTTGTAGGGTTACTATCAAAATGAAAGTCACATTTTCATCAAAAAATGTGTCTACTGGTAATAGCTACAGGTGATGGAGATCGGAGGGACAAATGACCCTCTCTCACTTTTTCCATGTGTATACAACTTTGCAAATAATTTATCTATTTTTTCCTTGTAATTCCTGATAATAAAAGGTGATTTAATACTTTAAGGACTTCTTTCTATCCAGTGCTTTAAGGATGGTCATGCACTTGCTTTTTCCAGCTCTTGCAATAAAAATGAAAGGGACACTGAATGCCTTGATTACTTTGGGCCTGTCCAAAGTCTTTCCTTCTTTGTTGGAAAACCCCTTATTTATTTAAAAAAAACCAACAAACCAAAACCCCCACAAGGAGTATGATTTTTTTAGAAAAAATTATTATTATTAAATGAGAAAATTTAGATGAAATTATGCAATGTGCCTTCAAGTTGATAAATATATGTGCAAATTGTTACTGTAGATAGGTTTGAAAAATGAAGATTTAGACTCCACTTCAAGCACTTCTCAGAAAACTAAGTAATGATAGACTGTTGCATAATAGCAATGTCCTACTTTTAAAGGGCATAAAGAAATAATCTGACTTTGACCTGCTGGAAAATAATTGTTCTCTTTTTGTGTGTGTGATCTCATGCAGTGTTTTAATTATCATTACAGGCTTTGAGCAAAATAATACATCTAAAGGAAGAACTACTGTAAAATTCTCAGGGAGAAATGAGAAAAACCGCTTTCCCAGAGCTGCTACATCACGAACAGAAAGAATATGGCCAGGGGGTGTCATTCCATATGTAATAGGTGGAAATTTCACTGGTAAGCTTTGTGCTTTGGATGGGGAGAAGGGATATGAATTTTTTTTAGTTGCCGCCCTTTTTTTTTTTTTTTTTTAAACTAAAGTCATACTATGGAAGTTAATAGAAGGGTTTCTGTTGGATCAGGCCTGAAGTACATCTGTTCTGAAAATATTAGTCATACTTCAAAAAACTGTTCCCAAAGGCAAGCTACATAATAAAAATGTATAACTATGTTTTAGAAAGGGAAGGCTTTTTTTATTTGCCTAATATTTCTTGTTGCATGTTTGTTTTCAAGAGCCTAAGTAACAGAATGTCATGAAATCTTTTTTTTTTAAAAAATGCAGGGTATTTAGTACAAGAATATAACTAATTTAACTGGTGTGACATGTATTCTGCTAAACTGATTTCACTCAACAAACTGACTCAAATGTGCTTTGTAGTTCCTCAGTTTGGTTTTCAGATGGATACACTGAAATGTGTTTCAGACATTATATATGACAAGAAGAAAGTCTGACTTCAAAATATATAGAACTCTTAAGAGAAAACTAGAAAAAGTTTAAAACATTTGTTATCCCTGAAACATGTAAATGGATCAATATCAATGTAGATGTAAGGTAATTTAAAACAAAAAAGGGAGGGAGAAAAGCAAAGATGGATGGGAAAAGATATGTAATAACATCTTATTTATTGTGCACAATAATACAGAGAACCAAAAGAACCAAAAGAAACATGCAAATGTTCACATATTGTATGAATATGTATATAGAGAAACCAGAGTCGTTCCTTTCAAACTGACAGCTACAGTCAAACTTTTAGTTTGGGTATTTACATAGTACTATACCAAATGTGACCTTTCCTTTAGGATTACCATCTTCTGAAATAATGGTAGGAAACTAAATGAAAGCATATCATGTTAAACATTTTACCTTTTTAATAATGAAAGATAAATTCTAAAGCTTGGAAAACATTGCTTAAAGATAGAAGAAAAGGGCAAGATGGGATGAAATAACCTTTAATTTTTTGGATCTGACATGATTTGAACTTGCTGTTTGTATGAACTTTGAGGTTTTGTTGTCTTTAAAAAAGTTTGTTTGTTTGTTTTGGTTTTGTTTTTAAATTATCCTATGCTGTAACATGCATCTTTGCAAACGTCTGCAAGGTGGATGCATTTCGGCTAGCGAATTCATGCCAAATAGTACCATTCTTTGTGGATTTCCAGCTCAGAAACAATACAGCTATATTTTTAGTTGCTGCCTCTAAGTTAGTAAGCCTTGTTTTTTGTCAGGCCATGAAATTACATTGCTATACTATCTGAAGTACTGTATACTAGCTGGCTTTGTGTTCTGTGGTGAGAGCTGGCCTGGCTGTTTCTGCATCTAGAGTATAGTTTTGATTGTTTCTGAATGTGTTTCTCATTTTTAAACAAATATCTAGATATGCTTAGTATTGTGCCAAATTAAGAATTTCCCCCTTTTGGTGGAACATTTGATTTCTGAAAGATTTTGATGCAAAATGGAGACAGGTCCCTGTTGAAGACAGCATTATTAAAATCAAATGCCTTAACTGGTATGCCTGTCTACATGGCTTAGGTTAAATTGGTCTCCAGATTTGAAGGCTGTAGGATTTTTTTTTTCCCTTTCTTTTTTGCTTCTGGCTAGATAGCTAGGATCCAGAGTTCCTGAATTTTCTTTCTTTTTTAATTTTTTTTTCTTTTTCTTTCTCTTTTTTTCCCCAATGTGGTCCACTTCATAATTTCATCTGGGAAATTGCTTGGCAAATATTACATTAATGCAGGTACATAGGCAACACTACATTTTTTTCTGTTGTCTTCCTCTGGTGTAACATGTGTTTTTTATTGCAGGTTTTATGTTTTCTAGAGTGTGTCAGGCAGTATTGGTCCCCTTGCAGGCAGATACTGATGAGCTGATGGTCTGAGTATCCCTTTAATTGGAATCTGGCAGTACATGGGACTGCCAGGACACAGGACTTCATGGGCCAGTGACTCCTTCCAGGCCTATATTCCTAGTATTAAAATCTGATTTTAAGGAGCAAGACGCAGTTAGGAAAGTCTTTTATTTCATCTCATTCAATTCCTCCAGGCACCCAGCGCGCCATGTTCAAACAGGCTATGCGACACTGGGAAAAGTACACATGCGTGACATTTATAGAACGAAGCGATGAAGAAAGTTATATTGTATTTACATACAGACCGTGTGGGTAAGTGAGGATGTATGGTAACAGATACTTGTGCTTTCAATGTTTGGCCATGTTTGTCAGCTTTGCAGTTATAAGTAAGTATATACTTCACAGGAAAATGAATAGACGGTTACTGCATTTAAGTGATACATGTGTTCTGCTTGGCTTTAGGTTCACTGAAGGCAGTATGTATAGTAACTTTTTGAAGTTATGCCTCTTTTGACTATGTCTAGATAAAATGATCTTGCTATATATACATAGATATGAGGCACTTATATTTGGCTCTCTGTCATGCTTTTAATATTTATATGTATTGTTCTAAAGGTATTTCAGGCTTATCATTTGTTTATTCTTAGCTTTCTCCATGTCACATGTTGACTGCTGAATTATGTATGGACATCTATCCCATATTCCTTTTCCAGCTTAATTGTTGTTAATTGTAATTTTAACTCTTCTATTGTTAGAATGTCCTTGCCCAGATTTTTTAACCACCAGGTCACTGATGTGTAAAAGTAAACAAACCAGGTTTTATTACTCAATAGTGCAGCTTTCCATTAATTGCCATGTTCCATCTTCAGAGTATTTCTGCTCACAAGTGCTTCAGTGTCGTGATTTACCCCCAGCCAGCAACTAGAAGTCCCACACAGCCACTCGCTCAGTCCCCTTGTGTCAGAATGGGGGAGAGAATCGGAAGGGTAAAAGTGAGAAAACTCATGGGCTGAGATAAAGACAGTTTAATAGGTAAAGCAAAAGCTGCACACGCAAGCAAAGCAAAACAAGGAATTCATTCACCACTTCCCCTGGGCAGGCAGGTGTTCAGCCATCTCCAGGAAAGCAGGGCTCCATCACGCATAACCCTTACTTGGGGAGACAAACGCCATCACTCTGAACATCCCCCCCTTCCTCCTTCTTCCCAGCTTTATCTGCTGAGCATGACACCATGTGGTCTGGAATATCCCTTGGGTCAGTCGGGGTCAGCTGTCCCAGCTGTGTCCCCTCCCAACTTCTTGTGCCCCCCCAGCCTCCTCGCTGGTGGGGTGGGGGGAGAGGCAGAAAAGGCCTCGGCTCTGTGTGAGCACTGCTCAGTGGTAATGAAAACATCCCTGTATTATCAACACTGTTTTCAGCACAAATCCAAAACACAGCACTACACCAGCTGCTATGAAGAAAATTAACTCTACCCCAGCCCAAACCAGCACACTCAGTCAGCTATGTTTGTTATTTATTCCACCCAGAATTCTTAGTTTTATATAGTGGTCAGTGAACTTCCTGAGTGTACCATATTAATTTTCCAAGAACACTCACTACCTGTGGAAATACTGTACTTCTGATAGTCACCTTCTGTTCAGGTTGTACGCTCCATAGTGAACAGTTCTCTGTCTTGCTGACTTCCTGAACAATGAACACTTTGCATGCCTACTTTTGAATTTTTATGGGATAGGGTTATGAATAGAAGTTTTGGGACCTCCTTGCATTGTAGGAATGATCCTGAATGTACTTAATTATAGCCCATAAAATTACATGTAGACTTAACTGTTTAAATTACTCCTGACATTCTTCTTAAGGCATAGGACAACGTAATAAAAACCACTCCTAGGCTATTTTAAGAAAGGTGTCACCTTTGCCTTGGAAAGTCTCTGAGCCACACATCCTTGCAAATGGATAGCTTATTCTGTGGGAGCACCTGTGAGCTTGCTTGTCATGTTCTTGTGCTCCCGTAGGTCTGCTGTAGACCCCTGTTAGAAACAGTGCCAAATGAAATGGACTTTTTTTCTGACCCAGCATGGCTGCTATTTTAGTTAATGATGCAACCTGTAAGATAGGATTCAAGGACACTGACATATAGCTGGAAGAGAAATGGGAAGCAGAGAATAATTGTGATGATTCCCTGCACTCACAGAGGTAGAAAGCAATGTGAATTTAAACAAAAGAGTGTGAAAAATGTAAGTGGTCTCAGGTGCTTTAGAAAGAGAAGTATGCAGATATCTACAGAGATCTTGGTTTCGTGAAAAGTAAATTCTACAACTTAAAAGTGCCCAAAGCCAAATGACAGAAAATCTCTCCAGCCAAAGCACTGTTCCTTGGGCTGGTTGATGCTTCATGAAATCAAGTCAATTTAGGGTGAAGGCTGGATTATAACCAATTTGAACCAGAAGGTTGAAATATACTCAGTGCCTACCTTCAAAGTCACCATTATCCTTTACAGTTAATGTTGTTTTGTTGATGGCTACTTTACAAATCCTAAGTAATTTACAAAGGCTGTAACAAGTTTAAAATAAGGAAAAAACCAAGGAAGAGTGTGGCTATGAACAGTCCACCAGTGATGGAAAAAACAGGCTAAACAGAAGGGGCAGTTGAGTGACTTTTTTGGGGGTCCTGAATCCATAAGCCATTTTAGGAAAAGCCAGATAAATAAGAACATGTCTTCCCTGGGTGAATGGGAACCACTGTGCACTAACCACCGTCATACAGTGCTGATGCAGGATTTTCCATGGAAAGAGCCCAGACAAAAATGACACCAAACCATCTGCAAACACTTTCTGCTACATGGCCAGCAGAAATTAATCTCAGTTCTTTCCCATAGCACCCAGCTGTGTTGGTTTGTTAGCACATTGTGTCATTATTGTTTGCAGTACCATGGCAGCTAACATTCACAGATGAGGGAGACTTTATTGTACTTAGCACTGTTCAAATTAAAAATTAAATGATAAACCCTGCCCCAAAGAGCACACAGTCAAAACATAACACATTTAATGAAACAAAAAGTAGATACAGTCATATATGTGGAAATTCAGGTGGCAATATCTACAAATGTCTGAGATGACAGCATTAGCGCACTAGTAAGTGAAGTGTTATTGAGCTTTTGTAAACATTAAGGATATTTGGAAGGACCATAATGCATTATTTCTTGCAGCAGTTCATGGGAAGCTCATCCCAGAAGGGCAGTGATGAAAAAAGCATATTTGAAATATAGCAGCTGGTTATCAGAGATACATGACCTTCCTGAATTTGAGAGTTTATATATCAGCAAAGAATGAGAGAGAAGTTTTGATTATCGTAGACCCATAGGACTGCAAGGGATCTCAGAAAGATGTCTAATGTATTCTTATGACAGAAACGACTATACCTAAGTCATTACTGATATATACTTGTCTAACTTGTTTCTAAAAACCTGCAAAAATGAATATTTTACAGCCTGCTAGGAAATGTATTTCTTCAGTATGCTTAATATAAGAAATGTAAGAAGTCAGGTGCAGTATTTTTGGTCATAGCTAAACCAGATATTTCTTGCTGCAATTAAAGTACGTTAACTTTCTTTCCTGCTCACCATGGCCATAGAAAATAAATTATTCCAGTTTCTTTTTTGAAAGAATCTATTATATACTTTGAGACTATTATTATACCCACCCTCAGTTCTATTTTCTTTTAGGCTAGAAAACACCTAATTCATTTAATCTTTCCTGGTAAGTTGTGTTTTCTAGGTCTTTGATCACATTGTTATTCTCTTTAAGATTCTTTTCAACTAGCCCACATCTTTCTTGAAATTGAGGACTCAAAACTAGGGTGTGTTTGTCCAGATGAATCATTACTTCTGCTGAGCCAGTGCTAGAGCTAATTCATGTATCTTGTAGTCTTTCTTCCACTTGGGTACGTAACCATGATGCCTCCCTATTTCTCAACAGCTGCCACATTTGACATGTGATCAGTTGGGATGTGACTCCAAATAAAAGTCAGAGTTCTTTCCACAGCGCTAATACCCTGCCACTGGTTCCAGCATGTGCCATGTTTTGCCCATCTCAGGACGTGAAAAAATTCTGTATTTCCCTTTTCAGATCTCTTCTCTAATCTGTTAAAGTAGCTATCAATTCCAGGCTTGTCTTCATGGTATTTAGCAGTCTTTTCTTAGACTGCAAGTTTAAAGAGCATCTTTTCTATCTTCACTTCATATAATATTCCAACCTGCTTCATACCCTCCTTTGTATCAGGGTTCTATAGTTTGCTTATTGGCAGCTTGTGTGGAAAAGCATCAAAAGCTTTACAGCTGGATCCCTCCTTCCTTCCCATCAGAATAATTTCACCTATTGCAATCTTAAACTGCAATTGTGTCATCATGTCTTGTTTATTTAACCTGATTTTGAGAACAGTTAATTATTGAAATATTGTTTCTTAGTACAGCTGAAGCAATTAGCTTGAAATTTTGTAATTACTGATAGTCATTTATACCCATTAGCTGCAGATGTGAGAATAAGAATATAGTATTAAGATACTAGTGTTTATGATTCTTCTACCAAAGCAGTGTAGATTGGCATTAATACCTATTACAGTAACTATTTATGCAGCTAGTTGATTAGGGCAAGTAAAATTTAATTTGTAAACAGTTTGAAAACACTCTTCGTTCACTACTGCTTCTCTAGCCTTATGTTTCTTGTTATCAGATAGTAAGTGCCTGAAGACACAGTCAGTACGCTTCTCTGTACGGAAAGCCAAAAAAGGGGTCAGCAAACTGGGATGGCCTATAGTCACATGCTCTTGATAAATATTACCAAGTACAAGATCAAACTTCTTTTTGTATAGTGAGACAAAAAAAGAACAATTAGTCATATGGTTCTGGCATCTCAGCATGCCTTTGATCTGACTTTGTGGCAATTTTTGGTCTCCACTGGAAGACTTAAGTACTTTTAATGAAAACTTTCAGATGACTTATTGCAATCACTACCATATCCTCTTATATGGGTATTTGACAAAGCTGTCTGAGATACAGGAAAACCAAATTTCTTTCATGTGCTTCCCCAAACATTGTAGACTGAACAGCTTCTGAATGTTTTAATGTTTTTTAAACTTGTTAGTATATTAAATAGGCCTCACAGGCAAGTCCTTAAAGTTGGTGAACCAGGTAAATTCATTGCCTGCAGGTACCCTTTAGCTTTAAGAAGGTATACGTGTTATAAAAGGCGCTTAATCACTTTTATGGAATGAGAAGAAATTCAGAGTTGTGCTAAATAATCCGTTGCACTAGGGCT